TGGTTTGAAGAAAAGTACTCGAGTACTGTAAGGGGGGTGTATAAGGGGCCTAATAAGGCCTAAGTGCCGCGATGGGGAAGCCAAATGAAATGTAGTTTTCATTTAATATTAAAATTATGCAAAAATGTGATTGATACAGTTGTACCTCAAGTAAAACTATACGTCTCAAAATATTAAAGTTGCATTTACTTTACTGTTATTTTTCAAATATCGTCATTATCGATGCATATTTTCTTTTAGAAACCAGGAGATACTTCACAAACTCCATTAGCGGTGTTAATATGGATACACGGAGGAGGATTTGTAGGTGGATCTGGCGCTATTCAGGAATACAAACCTGGATTCTTCATTGATCACAATATTGTTGTTGTCACGCTAAACTACCGTGTTGGAGTTCTAGGTAACTAATAAATATAATATATGTATAAACACTTTAAGTAAAAATAATAACAATAACGACATAATTACAATTTCATTAGTTAGGGCCCTTAGAAGAATATTTGTAGAGCTAAAAATTTAGAGGTAATGAAACAACTAAAGAAGTGCAAAATTGGTCAAGCAGGTTTTTCGTAAAGAACATCTCCAAGGAGGAGGACTGTGTCAGTAAATAAGACGAACGGTTTCTATAAGCATTCTTATATAATCCAGTAAAGATGTCATTTTATAAAAAAAATCCAAACAGGATGATTTTTTCAGGGTTGCTTGGGGACTGCCTCCTGAGTATCCAACCAAAAGATCACACTCGAACTCCTGGTACGAATTGCGCTATGGGGGTGGTTTCCTAAACATTTTTTTACAGCAAAATGACCTTGTAGAGGATCAAATTCTCAATAACTTTTCCATATATATTTTTTTTGTATGTCTAATACTTAACGAGTTACTGCGTATTATGTGACAAAAGTTGTTCTTGTAAACATGTTTTTACAAAAAAATTTTATAAAGAAAAAATGTTCAGAATTTGATCCTCTACAGCAACTTTTATGAAGGTAATTTTTGTGTGAAAACGTGTTTACAAGACCACCCCTGCGGCATACAAAAAAAATTTATATGGAAAAGTGGTTCAGAATTGTATCCTCTACAACTTTTACGAAGGTCATTTTGCTCTAAAAAAATAACTCAATTCGTACAAGGAGTTCGAGTGTAATCCTTTGGTTGGATACTTAGGAGGCAGTCCCCAAGCAGCCCTGAAAAAAATCATCCTGTTTGTATTTTTTTGCAGTCCCTATAAGCCGAGCACAACTTTATTGAATTAATAATATTTAGTATTATACAGTGTGTTCACGGATTGAGTGCACGTGGGGTATAAATGGTAAAAATTTATTGAGTTGAAATTTGAGCCTCTGGGCATCATCTCTGCTTGGCCTTAAACTAGGAAGTTGAAAAAATTAGTCTAATTAATTAATGTTTTTATGATGAATTTTCAAAAATTGTCAAGAGAAGTTGAAAATTGAGAAAATTGTTGATAACTAAAAGTTATGACAGATTGTCAATTTTCAATTTGATAGGCCAACTTAATTTTTTTTATTTTTCACAACCGCAAAGTACAAATTCCTATACAAACAAATAATATAATGGTTATTCAACTATGCTATCACCAACTATTACACATCGCTCAGCGCGATTATTAAATTCAGTGTAGGTGTTTTGGATTTCTTGAATGATTTCTTGAATTAATTGTATTTTCTATTCTTCGTTTCAAATTATTCAAATATCTCGTTATTCAACGGGGACCCGTAGACTTTCTGTTTGAGATAGCCCCAGAAATAAAAGTCTATTAGAGTGAAATCAGGAGTTCTAGGCCAAGAAATTGGGCCAATTCGCCCAATCCACCGCCCAGGAAATTTACCATCTAGCCATTGTCGAATGATTCGCATTGAATGCGCTGGGTGTCTATCTTGTTGAAAGCAAAGAAAAAACAAAGTTGGCCGATCAAATTGAAAATTGACAATCTGTCATAACTTTTAGTTCTCAGTAACTTAAGTAAATATTTTTGATATTTTTAAAAACAAAGTACTTTACTCTTGACAATTTTTGAAAATTCATCTTAAAAACACTGTGCATTAATTATCTGGACAAATTTTTTCAATTTCTAAATTTAAGGCCAATCAGAGATGAAGCCCAGAAGCTCAAATTTCAACTCGAAATATTTTTGTCATTTTCACCCCACTCAATCCGTAGACACACCGTATATAATAATTGGTCATTTTACAAAAAATTATAAAAAAAATGGGAATATGACAATTTTAAGATATTACGAATTAAGATTAAATCAGATGTAGTAGCACCTTATATTTTTTTCATACAGATGACTAAAAACGAAATTTAAAAAAATGAAAACCATTCTGGGCTTATTGCAAGAACAAAAAATAATTATACAATTGTTTCTCCAAGTGACATAATAAACTCTTCTGTAGATTTTTTCATACAGACTTATTCATATGATACTTCAGAAAGGGTAAAAATATACAGGGCGTCCCGGTACTTGATACAAAAAAGTCGAGTACAAATAGATGAGGTCAAAATAATATCAATTCTTCATATATTTTTTTCCTACGGGCCTTCGTTAACAAGTTACGGGCCCTCAAAGGTGAATATTAAAAAGTTATTTTTATTTACAGTTTCTAAACCATTACCTTCAGCATGATGCAAATTTGATGATCGATAACAAATGCGTACAGTTTGTTTTTAAAGTTGTAAGTGAAACTTCATTATGCCCAGAACGTCAGGGATGGACTATGGCCAATGGTTGACAACCCAGAATTTTTGTATAAATGACGATCGCAATCTGCCTGTATCAAAAATACGTTCCCCGAAGAATTAGCCAACGATAATACACCCTTGGTTCAACTCGGTAAAATTAACAGTTTAGGAAATATTTGTGATTTTATGTCACAGTGCACTTCGAGCGGCGCCTCCACCATTTTCTTGTTTTTAATTTTTAACTGGACATTAGAACAGTAAAAATTTTGAAAATAAGAGTCCAGAAAATCTTCCTGTCTATTAATATAATATTTCACTAACAAAATTTGACAAACACACTTTACACATAACACAAAATAGATAAAACAAGAATAAGTTAAAGTAAGTATTCAAATATCGATGTCTATTCAGACGTTCCTCAAAAACGTATGGACCTATTGAATTATTAATCGGTGCTGATCTTTTGCTAGCATAGTACCATGCTAATTCTCCTGTGGGATATCTGAAAAGTTTAGTGTACTAAACCCTAGTACAGACAAGGGATGAATTGCTACAAAGAATTAATTTCCATTGTGAAATGGTTCTTCATGTACAAACAAATAACATTGGTAGACTTAGGAAGTGTGTGGAGGTGGAAGGTGCCCATTTTGAAAATGTATTTTAATAGTTTTCTTCCTTTTAAATTATTTTCTTAACTTCATCTTAGTCTTATTTTGTTTTTCTTTTTGGGTTGTGTAAAGCCTGTTTGTCAAGTTTTGTTAGTGAAAATTATATTAGCTGACAGTAAGATTTTATAGGCTCTTATTTTAAAAATATTTACAATTCTAACATAGCAATTATGTCCAATTAAAAATTAAAAACAAAAAATGGTGGAAACGTCGCTTTATGTGCACTGTGACATAAAATCACTAATATTTCCTAATCTGTTAATTTTACCGAGTTGAACCAAGAGAGTATTGTCGTTGGCAAATTCTTTAGGGAACTTATTTTTGATACAGGCAAATTGCGATCGTCATATATACAAAAATTCTGGGATGTAAACCATTGAGCATAGTCCGTCCCTGGCGTTCTGGGCATAATGCAGTTTCACTTACAATATCAAAGATAAACACATTGTGCCAGATAACAAATTGAAAAAAAATTGATCCTCTGTTTCTTTGTGTGATGTGTTGCAAGTATGAATAACTTCCTGCTAGAATTCAGTACTGAGATAAGATATCATGTCTTTACTGGAATAAAATATTAATTGAATCAAAATTAAAAAAAAAAACAAAAAATTAAATTTCTCAAAATAATCACAACATTTTTTGGCGCCCAATCAATTTATTCACAGGAATATATAGGTATTACACACTATAGTTTTTAATGCGTGATTGTGTGTTTGTGTTTGCAAACCTCTTTCCAAAGTTATTTAAGGTTCCAACCGAAATTGTTCTTAAACTTTGGAAAACATCTAAATTCACCTCAGTATATAGGGTGTTAATGTGCGAACATTTAAGGGATGAATTCAGTGATTTTAGACGAAAAAGGTTACATAAACATAGGTCCACAATCGAGAGTTTTCGAGATACAGCTTGTTGAAATTTTAAAAAATCACCTTTCTAAAATATTTCTGAATGCGTTTGATGCAGAATGTCGAAATAGAATTATCAAAATATTTAGTAGCGTCCAATTTGTGAGGTTTTTAGTGTAAGTAATCCCCGGTATTCCCGCTACTGGCACTCTGATTTACATCAGAGTTCAGCAGATACAAACTTGATGTAAGTAACTATATAGACCGACATATATGATATATGATTATAAGATATTTCAATTTTTAATTCATGATTTAATGTTTTCTTTGTCAAAAAATCTCAGTTCTCCTTTTAGCACGATTTTTACAAAGGTAAAGAAACGAAAACAAATTTTATGTTTGAGATTCAATTTGAGGCATAATTGCTTCAACAAATATAATATATCTTGATTTGAATAAAGCATTTAATAGTTTAGATCTTTTATTCAATAAGATCCCAAACTTTGGTTCCTCTAACCCTCTGGCAACTTTATCTCAAATAATTATCATTTTAATATATTGCACCGTCGTATATATCACAAGGATCTGTATTAGGAAATATTAGGAAACTTGCCATTCCGTTTTATTCTTAATGACGTAAGTTACAAATATACTAGAAATTTTTTATTATGGAATTATATACAACTAAATCGAAAGTATATAAGGCTGAAGTTTTATCAAGATTAAATTTCTATGTATCTTTAATAAACTAGTCATTGCAATGTCATTTATTTATCAATACCGAGAACGAACAGTTTAAATGTTTTCTATAATATATTTAACAGTGAATTAGACTTAGATAGTTAGATAATTCTGGCTGCTCCTTGTCGCTCATTTTTCGAATTCATTAAAAATTCTAGTACTTTTTTTATCTTAAATTTTTTATTTAATTTTCCACAATTATATTTTTGTTTTCGAATGTTTTGTCATTTCTTTTTTCATAACCTTTTATGTTTTTTTTTAATTTTTTTATTAATATGTATATCTACATTGTTTTTGATATTAACTTTTAATTTTTTACGTATATTGTTCAAATGTATTTGTATTTCTTCTTATCCTCCCTTAAACTTGGAAAGTATTCCTCATACGTTAAAAATAACGTTTCATACCACTCGAAAACAATATCAGGCATAGCATTTGGAACAAATAGTACTTATAAAATAACAAGTACTGATATTAAAACCCACTCCTAAAATTCTGATAATCTTATTCCCAATGTATTCTAATGTTTTAATTCATATTCTTTCAGGATTTCTGACAACAGAAGATGGAGTCATACCAGGAAACTTAGGATTAAAAGATCAACATCTTGCACTTCAGTGGGTTAGAAATAATATCGATCTATTTGGTGGAGACCCCGAAAAAATTACGATAGCTGGTGAAAGTGCTGGAGCAGGATCTGTGGGATACCAAATTATAAGTCAACAGAATAAAGGTTTATTCAGAGGTGGCATTTTACAAAGTCTTACCCCACTGCATCAGCAGGCACATCAAAACTATGCAAGATTCTACGCTTTCGAATTAGCTTGAAGTTTGGATCCAAGTTTCACTTCGGACAATTCGATGGAATTACTAGAACTGCTGCAAAGCTTTCCTGCTTCCAACATAACCGACAACACAGTTACTGTAAGTTGAATGAATGCATTTTTATATAGATTGGTAATGAGTAAGAGTTAAAAATTAAATATAGATCATACACTATAATCAAAATTTGCATAGGTTGCTGTTGGAAAAGAGTCTGGATTACTAGAAGGCCAAGGTTTAATATGGATGCCTGTAATTGAGGATGCTAGTCTAGATGGAGCACTCCTCACGGGCTTATTTCATGAAGACATTAGAACAGGAAACATAAACCAAGTTCCCATAATTATTGGCTTTAACTCTGAAGAGGCACTTGGGGCTTTTAAGACTGGTAAGATTACGAAAACTTATTCAAACATCTTATTATTTATTTGATGTAAATGTCAACCAATATTTTAAGATCCTTCAAATATTGAGGTGCTTCCGAAATATTTCGACAGTGATTTATCCAACCTCATTAGAAACAAATTCAATATGACCAAAGAGAACAAATTGACAGCTGGCACTAGATTGAGACAAATTTACACCGATGGAACATTCGAAGACGATCCTGGGCAAGTAGTGAAGGTAACATCCATATATTTTTTGAGCTAGGTACTACATTGTTCAAAAGGAAAAATTTCTCAATAACGAAAAAATAACATATTAACCTTTCATAAAATCTGAAGGGACACGTAACCAGACTAGAAATTCGGTAGGCTTGAGAAGAAGTCACAATTTTGTTATGTGGGGCACTGTCTTATTTTATCATGTTTGAGAAAATTTACTTCCAAAAAAATGAGAAGCCTGCCAGAAATAACAGTAATTTCGTTTTGCCAAGTTCCATTAATGTGACTTCTAAAATGAAAGAAAAATCACAACTTTTCTCAAACAATCTTCCAAAAAAAGAACTTGCTTTCACAATGTGTTGCTGCATATTAAGCTTTCTAACGTTTAAAGATAGTACAAATAATTTTTCTTTAGTTTTACAGTGATGAGTCGTTTACAACTCCAGTTATTAGGCATGCAAAGTTACAATCCAACTATACCGACGTTTATATGTACCAATTTTCATACAAAGGCAATATGGGAGATATGAAGGATGTTGAAATTGCAGGTAAGTTTTCTGCATTCAAGCAATGTTAACAAATACTTATACGATGTACGGTTAGGACACATAGAGCAATCGAGAAGATTTTTTTTTATTGTAGGCACGTTTATTCCCTAGGCAAATAGTTGTCCCAGTTTTTCCTCATTCCTCATATTTTCTATTAAAATAATCTTAACCATTCTTCCGCATACGTTTTAATGTATGAATTTCTCCTAATATAAATGCCTGCATCTTAAATTATTATTTTTCATGTTTTAAATGATGACATATTAGTATTATTGGGTGTTGTTTGATTTTAATATTACCAATTACGTAATTATACACTTCTTATGGCGTTTTATCTGATAGATCTGTAACTTAATTATACAGCGTGGTAAAAAAGTTCTGCATAAAATTCATATTTTCGTTAAATAATTTTTTTTTCGAAAAACGGTAAGACCCGTCGATTTTTATTTGATCCAGGGAACCTTGTTATGTGGAAAAATTTTTTTTTCGATAATCCACTTACGGCAGCGATGACATAATTTTTTTTTAAATGACAACGCATATTTTTTTCGTTCGAAATTGATGACAGTGATAATTATCTAAACAACGGTGTGAAAATTTCGATGTCTTACATAACAATTTTTTTTAGAAAAATGCACCTTAAGTTCTTATAAGTGATAATTGTCTACTTACACTATTAATGGCTCCGAAAAGGACAAAGTTGACAAAATTACATTTCAAACGAGTAAAATTACACTAATGTTTGTGTAAGTCTAGCGAAATTGTTCGAATTGCCCACCCTGTACCATTTGGCATTGTCCTAAGCGTGTGTAAACGCCGTCTACACTTCGTTCAAGCATTCCCGGGTCGATTTGATTTATTTCAAAACGAATACGGTTTTTAAGTTCTTCCAAATCACCTGGTCTGTTTGTGTACACACGCGATTTCAAATAGCCCCACAAAAAAAGTCTAGAGGTGTTAAATCAGGCGAACGCGGAGGCCACTCGATTGTTCCGCGTCGCCCGATCCACCGGCCAGTAAACGTGTTATTCAAGTACTCCCGTACTTGCACTCCATAATGGGGCGGTGCACCATCCTGCTGAAACCAAATTCTTTCCTCAGGAATATCAGGATCCTCGTTGTTCGGGAATAACTCTGCTAAGCTTGGGACCAAATCGAACCGCAGGAAATCCAAATAGCGAGCAGCAGTTAAATTTTCCTCGAAAAAATACGGGCCTAAAATACGACGCCCTATTATTCCCGCCCAAACGTTCACCTTTCGGGGGTGCTGATGATCTACTTCTTGCACCCAGTGCGGGTTTTCCTGAGACCAATACCGGCAGTTATGTCGATGCACCGATCCATTAAGATAAAAAGTAGCCTCGTCAGAAAAAATTATGTTCTTGAGGAAGTCGGGGTCTCCGTTACATCGATGCATTAAATCTTCACAAAAGTGGAGACGGCGGTCTGGGTCGTCCTCAGTCAATGCATGTATCAAGTGACCCTTATAGGGGTGAAATTTCTCTTTTTTGAGAAAGTTCACCACAGTTACATGTGAAATATCATTGTTCAATGCAATCGACCTTGTACTAGAATGAGGGTTGTCCTGGAGCTCCACCAGGATATTCAATCTAGTTTCATCATCTACTCTAGGACGACCCGCACGAGGAGCATCTTTCACACTACCAGTTTCCTCAAACCTTGCCAGTACCCTACTAACCGTAGATTGCGTAATTGGTGGTCTGTCAGGGTACGTTGCATTAAATAATTGGCAAGCTTCTTGATGGGTTCGTAACTTATCGCCGAAACCAATCATCCTCAAAATATCAATTCTTTCGCGTTCACTAAGTTTTGCCATTTCGAATTAAACGATTTCACCAAAGAATGTTAAATCGGTACTGATTTTTAGTCTTCAATATTTCAGGTAATCTACTCCTTTCAAGTAAACATTTCTTTGGATCTTTTTTTTTTAGGAATTTATCGGCAAACTCGAAGACAAAAAGTCGACCTTAATTTGCTACATACTATTTGGATTTTGTGCGGTTGAACTTGGTTCTAAATTTTGCAGTTTAATCAGGATCCTGACAATATCTGATGAATAATTCCGCAAATATTACATAACACCAGTTGCAACTTAAGTTATCTGAAATGCTTTCTGCCGAATAAATTTTTTTCTAAGGCATTTGATCCGTAAACAGCAAATTATTGCATTCAAGAACTTAAGGTGCATTTTTCTAAAAAAAATTGTTATGTAAGACATCGAAATTTTCACACCGTTGTTTAGATAATTATCACTGTCATCAATTTCGAACGAAAAAAATATGCGTTGTCATTTAAAAAAAAATTATGTCATCGCTGCCGTAAGTGGATTATCGAAAAAAAAATTTTCCACATAACAAGGTGCCCTGGATCAAATAAAAATCGACAGGTCTCACCGTTTTTTCGAAAAAAAATTGTTTAACGAAACTACGAATTTTATGTAGAACTTTTTTACCACGCTGTATATCGAAAAGAATGATGGAACCTTCTATAATAAGATATTTTTCCAAAAATTTAAAGTATTATTTGATATTGCAAATATTATGGATGTTCTCTTTAAAAAACATAACTGGTTTCTATAAAAAAATACTGTACATTACTTTGGCAACTATTTTTAATTTGGCTCTTTTTTGCCAAGTGGTCCCCTCTTTCGGAGTTACAGCCCCCTGAAGTCCGCCCCTAAGAATAATCTTTTTTTATATCGCAGAACCCTGTTATACGAGAATCACTAAATTTGGTACACAGGGGTTTTATGACATGTGGAATCTGATGGTGCTACGTTTTTTGGCGACAATTTTTCGTGGGTCCCCTTGTCTTTGGAGCCAAAAAAATTTGGTCGCATATTTAAATTTCTTAAAAATTATCAGTCCACTAGAAACCCATTAAATTTAAAAACTTTTTGTTTCTTCATACTTTTTTCGTAAAACGCAATGTTTTCGAGAAAAATGTCAAAATGTGATCGAATGCATATCGTGATTCGCCATTTTCCTCAAAAACATTACGTTTTACGAAACAAATATCAAGAAACAAAAAAGTTTTCAAATTCAATGGCTTTCTAGCTAACAAATAATTAAACAAAAAATCAAATTTGCGACCAAATTTTTCTGGTTCCAAAGACAAGGAGGCCCACGGAAAAGGACGGAAAGGGGGTTTCTCGCCAAAAAGCGTAACACTGTGAGATTCCACATGTCATAAAACCCCTGTGTACCAAATTTAGTGACTCTCATACAACATGGTTTTGAGATATAAAAAAGACTGCTTAGGGGCAGATTTCAGGGGTCTGTAACTCTGAAAAAGGGGGCCAGTTGGCGAAAAGAAAAAATACGGGTTCCCTAAATTTGTCTTAAGAATCTATGACCAAATTTTGTTGCATGAATTTTAGGACACCCTGTATAGTGTATTAATGCTGAAGGAGAACATTTTGAACAACGTTGTTGTCATTTTGATATTGTTATTCCCGATAATCAAACATAGTAAAAGTTTAAAATCTGTGTATATGTAAGTACTTAGTATTTCTAAACTTTAAAGAACCATAAGTCGATAACTAGGAACTTGTACCTCTAGTTTGTCCAGTACGTCATATAGAACAAATGAATAAATAAAGATTGTCATAAAGATGATTTTAAATTGGACATGGTATTTATTATCAGTGGTTTAAGTAAAATTATTTATTTTTTCATCCGTTATAATTCCTAGATGGAAGGAAACTGTGAAGAATTCATGAATTTGTGCAACGATGTCTAAAAATAAAGACTCCATTCGAATTCAAAAATTAGTCACGTACACGGTCAATATTTTCGATACTAACAATAAATATTTGCAAACTACCACATAACCTGATTGCAGGTGTTCGAGGTGTTTGTCACGGTGAAGACTTGGGTTATTTATGGGACTCGCACCTTTCTAATGGATCTAACGGATCATCAGGAGATGATCCAGAAGATGTTATAACACGTCAACGTTTGTTAACCTTATGGTCAAACTTTGTCAAATACCTGTGAGTACTTATATTCAAAATCCCGTGAAATAATATTTATGTATGATTTATTTTAGAAATCCAACTCCAGAAGTGGACAGTTTTCTGGGTAACGTGACGTGGGAGAAAGTTAGTCCAAATAATTTGGTGTATTTGAACATCAACGATACACTTGAAATGCAGACGAATCCAAGAGACTACCTCAAGTGGGAAAGAATTATAGACGTGTATGCTATACCTCCATTGGTTAATTACTAATGTATCTTGAGAAATAAACTATATTATTTATATTGTTTTTATATGTAGCGCGTTTTCTATTTAAACCAATCAACAGAGCATGAAATCAGTGATTTTGCGACAAAAATACTAGTAGCAAACGGACTGTGGCCATCATATAAGAGACAGTTTGTAGATATATGCTTATATTATTATATTTCCTACTCCAATTTACCATTAATTAATTTCACTGATGAATCTTAATTAGACTAGGCGGTATCTGTTTTGGTTTGGGTGAAACGTATATCCCCGAAGATTTTTGGCTTTTTGGCTTTCAAATATAACTAGGAATGCTTGCAATGCTTTTGTTCTCTTCAAGCCTAAGAGGCGAAAACATTTCTCTTACTTCTTTCACTTCTCTGGAAAATAAAATAATTGTTGGCCCACTGACGACAAAATTTTTTATTTAGGTTTCTTTGTTTATTGAATTATCGTACACTGTAAGTGTCATTAGACCCTGTGAAATCCATCTAGTTATCTATTTAATCTATTACCACCACGCCTTACAATAAAACATTTATTATCATTAACTATTACCATCACTTGTCATACATAATTCAATAAGTTGTTGCGTCAAAATTAAAACATTATTACAATTTTAATTTTATTATGACAAATTAGTTCTTAAAAGTGCATATGGACAATCAAAACGCCAACTGAATATAATTCTTTAAAAAATTTCAGTAAATGTTCAAAAACATTTTCGTTTTGGCAAAGGTTGAAAATGAAGATCAGCGTAATATTATAGGAATTTATTATAGGTATCTGTAACAGCAACTGTGAAAGAGCATATCAGATATATTTGTATGAATATCCTGAAAAAAGTAGATCGGAATTTGTTTGAATTTTGAGCATTCGTGGAGTCTAGAAATAACTATAGACACGGGAATAAAATTCTAATAATGTTTTATTTTAATGCGTGGTGGTAATACTTTAAATAACTAGAAGGGCTTCACAGGGTCTAACGATACTTACAGTGTACGATAATTCCATAAACAAAGAAATCTAAAAAAATTTAGATAAATTTAAAATGAATACACTTAGGATGAATTTTTCGAGACAAAACGTCTGAACCTGGTTCGGGTTGAGGCAGCACAGTATTGGGGGTCATGAAAGCTTGCAAAAATGTTATAAAATTTCTAGGGCGGTATTTAAAAAAATGAAGTTGATGATGGTCCTGGAGAGACGAAACCTTTCATATAAAAGTTGATTATGCCATTCGATAGAGGGCAAAAAGTGGTCATGAGAAAGTGTCCTTTTTTTTTCAATATTACCCCAAACAAGGCTGAAATGAAACAAAAACGAATTTCCAAAATTTCGGTTTTTTTTTTCAAATATTTGGAAAACTAATCATGTTAGCCTTGATTTTTTAGAGACATAATGTTGGTCCCCTGATTACGCAACTTTGCCCCCATTAAGCTAGTTTGTATCTCTTACCGTTTTCGAGATCCCTGTTGTGAGAAGCAAATTTGTAACAGCCTGTATACTAATTTCTTTAGATGTTGTGTCCCTATTGTGTAACCTTATTTAATACTTATACAGTCACTAAATAACTGCTTGGGAGAATTGGTTAAAAAACCTAAGTTTACCTCAATATGTAGCATCCAGCTAAAACTACAGTCACATTACAGTGAGAGTAAAGCAAGGTCGTGGGTTTGTAATATGAAATTTTTTAAGTTCGACTATTATGTGAGGAAGGAATGAAAAGATTAAGAAAATGTTAAGAGAACAAGCAATAGTAAAAGTTAAAAATTTCAACAGCACGAAGACGTGACAGATTAAAAATTGTTGACTATTGTTGATATCTCTATACTTGTTATGGTGTAATTGAAAGCAACGGTGATGACTTCTGTCAAGGTTTAGTGAGCAACAATATGGAAGGGTCTTACTCAGTCCTACGATGTAAAGTATCTAAGGGGACGTTGACACTATGGTCATCTGTCGAATGGGGATGGCTAAAGTACTATCAGTAGACAGACTTCATGACAACCTCCTCCCAAAGGTTATAACTGTTATGAGGCCCTGGATCCTATGAAACGTTTTCTTGTCAGTCAGAAGATCCGCGGTATCGTTGGGTTCAGTTGCAATTTGAAAACAGATAAGAGTGTAAGCAAGTAGGATATTTACAATAAAATGATGTTCAGCAATAGATCAATCTGGTTGCCGGTGATTATGTTATAAAATTTAAAATACAAAAGTTCTTAAATTTACTATTTACAATTAATTTTAAATTTAATCTAAGTTAACAGTAGTAGGTATTTACAAGTTGTAAGTACTGAAATTTATAACTGAATATGGTGATTACTTAATTAGAGTGTGAAGTATTCAAGGAAAAATGAACAGAGTTTGAAAATCTGTCTATGAGTTACTCAAAATATGCCAAATATTACTCAAAATTTTAATTTATCTATAAAATTTAATTAACAACAATTTACTACAGTAAGATAATTTTGTTTATCAAAATTTATTACAAATAAAGAAACTTGAATAACAACCAGACCATACGCTGTTAAATCGAGACAAAAAAGTAACAAACTGTGTTAATATAAATTCGTGGGTACATCAAAGTTAACCTTTTCAACTTGGTATTTATATAATGTGGTATAAATAGGTAGGATAAGAAAACTATTATAAGATAAAAGATACAAAAAAAATGTCTGAACTATAACTTTTGCTGTAACTTAAATTCTACTCAAAGACGCAAAGATAAAAGCTAAATCTACAAATCCAACATTTGTGTGCGCACAGAAGGGGTAGACTTTAGTTGCCACAAAGAGTAAGGGAAGCAAGCTGCTTTTATTTATGATAAGAAAAAAATAAAAGAAACTTCCCTTAACCAGATACTTGAATCCTGGACAATTATATTCCAATCCAGACCGAAATATTTGCCTGTAGGTCCAGTAATAAACTGCAAGTCTGTGACGTACTGGTCAAATTTAGGAGTGTTTTTTAGGATTAGGCGCTGTTGGGTGTTTTTTTTAATTGCAAGAAATTTTATTTTATTTCCTACCTTCTATACAGGCTTCCTACCTTTACGATCTACAACACACAAAACAAAAAACTGCTTGCTACTACTACACGATAGTTACACATTGTTACGTTACATGTTTACCTTACTCATTCCTTCTTTTCAAATCACATTCTAAAGTAAATATAAATAATTACAATTATAATTAATTTATTTACCTTATTGGTTCAGAGCGATTAATAAACGTAAAATATTTATAGTATTTATAATAGCATAATTAAAATAGTTTGTTGTATTAATATTCCATATGTATTTATTATTAATTACTACTGGAATTCGAAATAAAAATGAATTTTATTAAAAATGTAGCGTGAATGCTTCTGCTTCCGCATACGATGTCCCCGCGTTAGCTATCTACATTTCTTTGGACACACAAAAAGGTTGCTGGTCGAGGTTCGAGGATTTTTCCTATCGAGTATTCAGGCAGTTGTTGTTAAGCGAATTTCGTTGTTCTGTGCCGATTTGTGCATTCCAATATAGTTGGGAGTTTTATCGAAATTCACTTTTGAATGTGATTTATGTATTGGTGTGACTATAATCACAGTTCACGACTTATGTCGGATTCTAAAGCAATTGATCTGTAAGTAATCTTTTCTGGCCCACGTGGTTCTTATTCTAACTATTATTTCCTTAATCTACAGGATGCTCATATTATAGCCAATAGGATAGTTCTAACGAACCACTGAAATATATATCTATGTACATTTAGATATTTATCCCAGATACCAGATTGGACTACAATTGAAGCCGCCCTATATCCTTGAGTAAGTTTTTTTTCCCCTACTTTCAACAATTTAAACCTTTTGTGTGAGCCTTAGGTGTGATAATCTCAAAAAAAAAAAAAAAAACATTTATTATTCGTGCTATTTTAGGGCTTCGTGAATTTACCTATTCGTTCGTTCGAACCTATTCTTCCACCTTTATACTGGCTGTCTCGCATTTGGGGCTTGTTATTGAACGTCGGATTGTTATCCTCCGATTTGGTTGACGTCGCTTATATAGGACAAGTGGATCCAACTAGGAAAGAAGCATTCGCCTCTCCAGGATTATTGTAAGATCAGCCATTGCAAAAGGTCAGATTTTTCCGTTATGATTATTATGTTTTGTTGGTGCAAAAACGAGAATTTAATTACTAAGTAATTTTTTTAACATCTATACATTGAGTACAACATATATTACAATATTTTTTTAATGTGTTTAAATATACATTTCTTTTTTTTATCTCATAGTAATAAAATTGTTGGTCTGTACATCAAATAGGTTTGGTGATATATATGTGTATATATTTCTTTTTTACGCCATATCTTGAATCAAGTGATATATATTTATATGAATATCACGATTGGCATGCCAGAAATTCTAAAGATAGTACTTTAGTAGTATTTTAACTACGTATCTTTAAAGTAGCCATACATATAGCAATATCTGTTTACATATTTAGATAAATTATCTATTTCTTTCTTGTAATAAAAATTCTTCTATATCGGAACATTTTCACATGGTATTTAATTTTTTTTTGAGCTTAACATCACTTTACTTTAAAAAAAAGTCGTAGTTTGGAAAACCAGCCAATTTAGGAACCTCCTAGCAGGGTTGCGTTTTATTGCTAGTGGCGCCCTAAATTTTGATATCCGTATATTTGAAATGTTTTATTGAACCTACACCATTCAGGTTGAGTGATTCGTCGGCATCTTTGTTACGCACTTACACTTCCAAACTATCACTACGTTGTTTTATGACCTCATTTTCTTTTTTATTTTTTTAATATGTGTATATATTTTGTACAAATAAATTTTTTAAGCAAAAAAATGTAACCAAGCGTAGCAACATATCTTACACATCTCCTTTCACTACTATTGCCACCTGGCAGTGTTGTCGACAGACCTTTTGCTTTCGTATTAGATGTAACTTCAATTTCGTAATAGATTTACATATTTCTTCAGTCATTAAATAAACACGCTTTTATAGATTTTTAGTTGTTTATCT